AAGGTACAATCTTGAAGATGGTTCTGCCTTCTCTCCAGAGGCTTTTAGCATTTATTTACTTCCCGCTTGGCTGCTGTGTTCATGGGCATGAACTTTTTTCAGACAACAAAGGAATTACTCTGCTGGTCAAATTAATGGTATAGTTGTTAAAGCCCTTAGGTTTAAATTGACTGGATGCATAGATAACATTTTGCAAGTCTGAAACAGGTACTTCTGCAATAAGCCTTTGCCTGAAAGGGTTGGGAGAGCTCTGCCTCCCCTCTCCACTCTTGGTGTTTTATCCCAAAAGCAGTGCACAGACTTTGGGGTACAGTGGTACTTGGTGTGCATGCATATTCATGTCATAGTCTCCAATGTGCCATAAGGGCTGACTTGTTAGCTCCAGCTTTTCTTCCCCTTCCTTATCTTTCCCTGCTGCACCATCTATTTCTAGCTGCTTCTACAAACTGAGGACTAGGAGTTTCTTGCTCACTTCCCACTCCTTTGCCTAATTGTGGCAGAATCATCTTCATATTGTGGGGTCATGTCAACCCTGATTTGCAAATATAAGAGGAAAAGATTTTTTCTTTCCTGATTATACCTATTGCATGTTTGAAATGTTCTGCTTTGTTCTTTAATCATGTATTTATCAAAAATTCAGTGTCTTTGGAACTAGTAATATCAGACAGCTGTGGTAGCAATAAAATTTCATGTTTACTGGTTTGTTGGGCACCCTTTTTTTTTTCTTTATTGCCCTTCCCCAGTGTGATCCCATTTTGCTCTATGGGTAGAGGAGCAATGCTTTCATAATTCTAGATCCCAGCTATGTATACAAGTTGCTAATTGTACCCACTTGCTGCTGTGGCTTAATTGAAGTTGGGAGCAGTCTATGTCATCAATTTCTGCATCCATGTGGTTCTGTCACTAGTATTGTTGTGGCACCTTTTGAGGCTTAGTGTAATCACGCCTCACATGCTAAGAAAAGGGATTTGATGGATTCAAGATCTCCATGAGCAGACAGCATGTGGTGGCCTGCAAATTGTTTGAAGTGCATCAGTGTGGGAATTGGGATTAGGGATTCTGTCAATAGAGTTCACCTGGGTTTCCTGAATTTGGAAGACACTAATTTAGCTCATAACCCACAAATATGCTGTCCCTGTTTTCTCCACAGAGTTTTAAAACATTTTGATAGCTGTGAAAATTAAACAATGAACATTATGAGCTTTCATTGTAAATATTGATTAGGGTAAGATGGTATTACTTGGGGTCTTTGCCCATAAATCACATCATATTGTGTGTGTCTCAGGCTTACGCAAATATTCACAATCAAAATCAGATACCAAAGTTGGAAAACCACCTCACTGTGTTTATATTGTTCCTATAGTGATTGGTTTTGAGTCTTATATCTAATTAGGGGAAAGCATATGGTGCTGTGGCTTGTAATTTTGGTATTGTTTTACTAAGAGATGTGCAAGCATCAACTCTCTCATAGTATGTTCCACAAAAATGTAGAGAATGTTTACATTAATGACATAATATGTCTGTTAGAGATTTTGCAGTACAAATGAGAGTGATCTGCACAAAAAGCATTTTTCTCTGTAGCTCATTAGGAAAGTGTCTTGTCAAGGCAAACATGATTACTGACAAGTAGGAGAAGAAGCACAAAACAGGCAGGAGCCACTTAAGAGTCATTTCTAAAAAGTCCAGGTTCTCAAGAGGACTAAAAATAGCCTTTCCTAAGTTGAAGAAGTGTTAGCAGCATTGTCTCTGTCATTTATGTTCTGCTCCATTGCATCCTCTTTAAAAGTAATGAAGTTATGAAGTTGCTTAGATGGAGAGAATGTTTTGATTGGTGTATAAGCATTATACATGGATAGGTTAATGACTATGAAACTCCCAGCTGGAAGTTTCTAACACTAACGTACAGTTTCCATCAGAGATCAAAATAATTTACTAACATAAATTATTTATACACAGGGCTGAAAGGAATTAATAATAACAATAAGGCATCTCCATGGGATAATCACCACACCAGCAGCACTCATCTGTACCGCGTAGCCCTGCAGGGGTTTGTAATTATCTCCTGCAAACCACACCTCTAGTGATTGGGTTTTTTAGCTTCATTGTAGTGCTGCCACTTCCAGCGCCTTGCCTGACAAATACTTTTTGAATTTAAAAAAAAAAAAAAAAAAAGTGTTGCAGTCATGTGAAGAGAAAAGGTTACAAGCACAAGAGGTATTGTAGAAATTCAGTTGATATAGATTTTCATACCAACAAAAGAACTGCTAAACCTGATTCTGGAAGCATCTAATGAGGTGCCTACGTTTTTACTTCAGGTTATTCACTGGAATTAGCCCAAAGTCTGCTGCCATTTCCTATGGCTTCCTGGTGATCTAAGGAAAACTGGCTGTTTGCGTGATGCTGTCTTCTTTGTGTTTCCAGCAGCTAAAATTACATTAAAAGAGGCTAAAAAAACATTAAATGCCCTCTTAAAATTACTCTTCTGTATAGACAATTACAGTATTTGCAGAGAAGCATAACATGATTACAAACAGAGAAATGCTGGTGAGAGGTGATGGTCTCCGTGGCAATAGCTGTTGAGTGTAAAGTACTTCCTTCAGCTACTGCTGATGCACTCAGATCAGAAGCAACAATCCTAACACTATTTCATGCTTTCTAAACACACTCTTGTCTCAACACAAGATTCAAGAAAAAAAAAAAAAAAAGCCACCAAACAAATATTAAAAAAAACAACTAAAAATTGAAGCAAACAAAACCTAAAAACACTTACAAATATCCACTGAAAGGAGCAATTAGAAGCATGGTATCGATTTAAAAGGGGCAGAAGTTCCTATGCTGCTACAACTAAAGCTCTGCCTAATGAATCTGGAGGTGAGGCAGAGCCCTTGAATATTGGGTAATACACAGGTACAGAGATCTCTAAGATGGAGGGACTAAAATAAGCCTTCATATATACCTTGTTTCAGCCCTCACAGAGCCCCATGAATCCACAGGCAAATTTAAGCCAACTCTACAATGTAATAGAGCAGTGACTGTGAAGAACACCAGGTGGCTGGGTGACCTGTGATCATGATAACACAAATCAATAAGCAATTGATTTCTTTTGTTCTGAACAACCTGCAAGTGATAGATCAACTTCACTGTTACCCTATCCAAAATGGACTTGCAAAACCAAATGTCAGGTGAACAGGAGCATGTTTTGCTGTCACTGTGCCATTCAAAGCTCAGCTAAAGCCAGGCATGGCTGAAATCTGTATTTTCACAATCTGAATCTGTGCTGGGGTTTAGGACAGTATATGCAGTCAGGGAGGAATATTAAATTCTTTCATGCCAGTGCAGTCCATGTTCTGAAAGACATCTAGGGTTGTTCTAGAGATGAGTAAATTTTTTTATATTTGTGTCAGTCCTTTTGAACAAGGTAATAACATCATTCTAGCCCTTCTGGGTCAGATAGAGGTCTCTTCCCCAACTACTCAGTTTTCGACCTGAAGAGTCCTAATCTGCTTACATGTTCCTTCTGCAGAAACTGTCATATTCTTACTTATTCCTGCTGCTTTTCTTGGAATCTGTCCCAGTTCTACCATATCCTTGTGAGGTGAGGAGGACACCAAGAGTTTTCAAGATACTGGCACAAGTGCATTCTGACAGCATTATTTTTATAGAGAACATGCATTTAGCATCACAAGCTATTTTGTTTGTTCTGTCTAAGCATTTCTTAACTACATGTAACTATGCTTGTTCTGTATGTTTCCTGATCACTGATGATTGCTGAGATTATGTCTGGCAGGGAACTATCTATTACCATCCCTGGATTTCAGTCCCAACTTGAAATAATCAGCTTAGAATCATTATAGGTTACGTCCTTTGCACATAGACTGTCCGTTCTGTAGGAAATATCCACTGCATCCATAAGCAAGTGAGCAAGTTGCTCTCAGTTGTGTCTAAGAAAACTGTGGAAGCAAAGAGATATGATCATAAAAATGTGCTTTATACTTTACTATCAGAATAAATTGTGGAAGTAGACACATGCCATAAGAACTAATGCCTTTGAAAGAGAAGCGTGGCTGTCTGAAATTTTTTATTGGTTGGCTTGGTGTAAGCTCATCCTTCTTGTCTAAAAAACATACTTGTTAGCCCCCCTAGAGATACCATGGGCCTTGAAAGAAAAGGAGGAAAGCAGCTTGGATCATCCAACTCATCATTTATAAGCGATATCCTCCCTCTCTCATCTGCAAGCTCCTATCTCTTATTCATCCTTTTAAAACAAAGTTCCTGTAATTCTGAACATCATTCAGCTTTTCCCTCTTTGCCAGGACTGTTAGGAAAATATTAAGCGATGAATTGCAAAAGGCTGCATTTGGCAGGATCTCAGATGATGGGCTGGAAGGCAAAACCAAATCCTTCCAGCTATTCCTCATGTGAGGAGGGATGTACTGTGTCCTTTCATGGTCTCTATCTGCCTGGTTTTTTCCCATTCCAACAGACAGGAGACAAGTCTTTTTTTATACTGCATATTTTGTACTTTGTGGGTTTTTTATACATTTTGCTTTTGTGACAAAGTGTGATGAGAAAGATCCATATTACTGTTTCATAGAAAACACCCTAGTAGCTGTGTGTGCATGTTTCTTAACAGATTTCTACTGAAATGCAGCCTGAAGAAAACAAAAAAATCCTGGCTAAGTTTAAAGAGCAAACCGTATTTGTGGGACCCCTATTGTCAGGGGTGAAATTGTGAGAAATATCACTTACTTTCGGGCAAGCACATATCTTGTCATTTGGTTGTACACAGGATAGTTGCTGCAGGAGACTTGAGGTTATCAAGGATTTAATCTGGACATTTGTGGTAATTTTATCAATATTGTTCATTTGAATGTTTTCTTTAGCAGTACAAGTCGGAGATGTAATCCTGCTAATTTCCTGTGGGGCTTTCAAAATTGCATTTTTTACAAGGTAAAAAAAAATCATTAAAGTAAAACATAATGTCTTGTTTGCCTTCACAGCAAGAGAAGCTGGGTGATATCTGCTTCTCCCTCCGTTATGTGCCTACTGCTGGCAAACTGACTGTCGTCATTCTGGAGGCAAAGAACCTGAAGAAGATGGATGTTGGTGGACTATCAGGTATGTGTGTGAAAATCTCCTTAAAGATTTTGCAGGCTTGTAAAGGCAGAAAATCAACTAGTTTTCTGCTGGAAGTCTCTTGGCTGAGAAGGTAAGGGCTCTTGCTCCCTGTCTGAAAGATGTGGTTTATGTTTTCTTGAAAGTTAGGGCATGACTGAGTATATCAGAACTAATTCTAGCTTAAAAAAAAAAAATCACAAGACATTGCATTCCGCTCCAAGACAAGGTCTGAAGTGTTACATGATTAGATGAGAGTGCATGCTCTCTGTACTTTCCTTCTCTCCTGTTGCCTAGAGATAAATACAGACTATTCAGGCAGAGAAAAAAAATCTGACTACAATTCCTATTGTCTGTTTAATGTCACAAAATATGAGCATTTCACTGCATTGTTGCAGATAATAGGTACCAGAGGAACTCGCCACAGGTTGCCGTGCTGACTGCTGTTTGAGGTCTAGGAAGATTGTTTCTGCATTTGAAGGGCTCAGGTGTGATTGCTTACGCGTGCAGAGTTAGAGGTGCGCTGCATTTGCGTGCACACCAGAAGTCAAAACGTCACTCTCGTGCGTGTGGTGGGCGGAGAGGCTGATACATCCACCGTGCTCAGGAGCTGCCAAGAGCCCTGGCAGCCTTTCCGTGGGGTGAGGCTGTGCACGCTGTGTGTGACAGGGTGTGTGCCACCTCTGAGGGAGGCACTTGGGCTGTGTCCCAGCAACCTGCTTCAGCTCCCTGTAGGTTTCTGTTCTCTGCTGCCTCTGGAATTTGGACACAAATTATTGTATAGATTGCCAATTAGTTGAGACCAAATTAAATAACAAGGTGCTTTATAAGGTGAGGTCTTTCCAGGAGAATTTTGGTTTGCATGCCTTCTGTTGAGAAGAAACATTTGCTACCCACCATTGGGAATGAGGCTATTTCCAGCACAGTTCTAGGAGCGAAAACTTTTACAGCTGCCACTAACACATAGATGATGTAATTTCTCATTTTGATTTACCAAGTGACAAGAAAAAAAGTGTTTTGCTCTTACTTTTTTATAATCTTAGCACAAGGTAGTAGCTATATGCAAAATAAACAGAAATGGGAGCTTAATAAAAGCAACTGTGAAGGTTTTATTTACCACTCTTGATGAATAACTGGGGGACCTTGCCATAGTGTGGGGAAACAAAGTCTTCTGTCAATAACCGGTTATTTTTTGGTTTTTGTTTTACTTGCATCTGAAGTCATCCACTGCACAGCAGCAGACATAAAAGTAAAGGACATACAAGTGTTGTTGTAGTCATTGCTCAATAAAGGCTAGCCTTTTCTTGTCCACAATGGACACTCGATTAAGACACACCACTGATAGTTTCCCTAACACTCATAATGAACAAATTGCAAATTAATGTTCATAAGCACATTTACTCCTAATGGTTTCCTAATGAAAGATTAGATTCTCATAATGACAAAGCATGGGGATTTTTGACTGAAAGTTAGCTCTGACAGTCAGAGCATCTATATTCTTTTCCAAACTTTGTAAGAAATGTGATAGATAATGGGTACTCAGCTTATAAGAAACGAAAGAGAGGGGCAGGGGAAACATTAATGAACTGAAGAGCTTCTACAAACTTCAGATGGAAAATATAGTACATTGTGTTGGAAATAACTCTGAGGAAATGAGTGGACTTAATCTCCTCTGTGTTCTGAGGCACATAGAGGACATTTAAATTTCTAGGGAAAGAGAGGTTTTGTTCTCCATTTTTAGGGCCATGCCAAACCTGAAACATCATGTTCTCTTGGAGACAAACAAACCCAATGGGATACCATAGCTGTAGCAGGAATTCAAAAGTCACTGACAGTGATAAGTGGCAGTTAGTACGTTATTCCTGGGGCAGTAATTATAGATGAAATAATGTTGGTTTAAAGTAGATCCAGGGTCTTTCATTAGGGAATTTATCTTTTGAATAAATTATGTGGGAACAACTTTGGAAATCAAGCTGAGATTCTGTTGTCATTATTCACACTAAATATTACCTACTCTAAGTGCTAACAAAGGTGACAGGATTTTATCTTGATTAGCAAATATTTCCCCCTAGTTTTGTTACATTCTCTAGATACTAAAATATATTTTCATATTATAAAACTGAAAATTTAGCATGACAGGAAGGGTGGGAAAAGGTTAACAATCAAATGTGAACTTTAACTGAGTGTTACCTATATATTCAACAGCACCATTAAAAAGAGGTGAAAATGCTGTAGTTGACACAGATGGGGGAAACAAATCTTAGCAATTTGTCAGAAATAGGCAAAAAATACCTTTTTTGTTGTCTTTTTAAATTTGGGATATATATTTTAGTTATTCTTTTCTATTTTTGATAAGATGCTGGAAAAGCAGAATCCAGACGTTTGGAAAGGGTTCTGCTTTTCTCTTGCACCCATCCTTTATGCCTCTGTGAAGTTTAGCTGCCTCACAGGGAGAAGGAGCAAGGCCCTGGCTCCTGCAGAGGGAGCAGTGACAAGCATTCACAGCCCAGTGGGGGCAGCTTTGTGGCTTCCTTCTGGCTGCTTCTCTCCACATCTCAAGCATTACTGCTGCTAGTAAATATCTGCCATACCTTTGCACCTCAGTAATGTGGGAGGTTTCAGTATTTACATTATCTTTAGCCCCAATAAAAAGAACCAGTCACTGTGGTTCAGTATTCATCTGAACTTCTACCACTCTACATAAATTCATTAAATCCATCCATTGTGGTCAATTTGGCTTTAAAACATGCTTGATTTTCATTTAATATGTGTATTTTTGTTATGCAGATAGAGAGAGCCCTGTTACAAAAGTACCCAAAGCAAGAGAGATTGAAGTATGTTGAGAGCACTACCTTTCCTAGCATTTTTACAGGGCCTCAGCTGGTAAACCTTAATCCTCCTAGTCAGCATCTATATCATACTTAATGGTTACTACAGCTGCTTTAAAAAGAAAAAAAATATTAAAAAAAAAAAAAACCAAAAAACAAAAAAACCAGCTTTATAAAAGCATTTATCACCAGCATTTTTCATAGATGTCATTAGCAGTCAAAAGCCAAGCATAAATTATTTTGGAAACAGACAATAAAAGGCAACAAACTAATCATCAAATTCATTAGACTTACTTTTACAAAACCATATCACTCATCTGAGTAATCAACTCCCAGATCTTAAACATAATTTCAGTGTCAGGCTGTGACTAGAACAAAGCTTGGCTCAAACAATGAAACTATTTAGCCTGAGCTCATCAAGTCACTGCAACAAGTGGAAATTATTACTTCTGGTGAGCAAGGGCCTCTGGCAAGCTATTATGCATATTCTAAAATGGCATTGTAATTATTTAAATTATATTCAAATGCATTGCTAATGAATCTGACATCTGGAAGGTGATGTGTAGGAATTAATGATACAAAGCAATTATTTTTTTATCTGAACTTGGTGGTCTTGGGTGGCTTTATAAGCATACTTCACCTAAAATGTCTGTGAGACTTAGAAGCTTAGGTCTTACAGGGAACTTAGACTCCCAAGTTACTCCATTGGTTTGGTTTTTGGTGATTTGCAGAATTGGAAGATTTCAAAACCAGTTTATGGTTTAATCTCTCCAAACAGTCCTTAGATACATAGTCCAACTAATTCCTTGATAAGGGCACAATGCAGCTCTCCAGTGCCATTCGTTTCACAAAGGTTGCCTCTTAGTTACAGTACTTCATTAGGTTTATGATCCCTTCTGCTTCAGAAAAGGACAGGAATTGTCTGCAGCTCCCCTATGAGATATTCATCTAAATCAAAGTAATACTAATTTCAGATACCGATTTAAATAATACAAAACTCTATTCTAAATTCATTTTAATCTTATTTGTAGTTGTAATTTTAACTTAATTTTTAAAGTGAAAGTGATTTTGTAACCCTCAGTACACTTGAGTAGTAGCTAAATGTGGTCTGTGGGATAAATATGGTGCTTCTTTTTACTACATGGCAAAAATTTGAAACACATACACACATTTGTACAAGTAGTTCTATAGATTTCCATCTCTTTAGCCATACCCTCTATTTGTATTCAGTTTTGTTCCTAACATAAAATAAAGACTTTCATTGCAACTTCCATCAGCTTCCCCTGCTTTGATTAAGCCAATCACTGAAATAAATTACGTGATTATCTTGAAAAGCATTTTCCGTCTAAACCTTCAGGAGTGGCTGGGGCTGGCTCCTGGACAGACTATTGTTATGAGGTGTTTGGCCACTCAGACCCCAGCTTAAGTGCCTTATTTTGGTTTTGATTTGGGCTTTTTTAAGAACTTCAGTGGTTCTGTATATTACAGTGAAAAACTGGTTTGTATCAAGAAGTCAGCTTTTAGTAAGTGTACGCCTTAATACATGTTGTCATCTTTTCAGGATTAATTTCAGTATGGTTTATTCCTTCTAAAAATCTTTGAAAGCTAATATGATTTTGTTCTTTTTGTATTATTTTAGTATGCTTAGCTTTTAGTGAGTGTATTTACCAGGAATCTATTCTCAAAGCAAGCAATTCCCTTATGTCCTCAGCACTGCTGCCTCTCACCACTCCCAGTTTCAATGGGTAGTGGATGCCCTAGCTGGAATGGGCTCAGATATTGAGTTTAGGAACTGTTGCCAAGTAACAGATACTGTAGCGGACCCTAAATTGTACTATTTAGTGCAAATTAATGCTTAGAAAGAGCTGCAAGGAGAATAGGATTGTCATTGGATCCATGTGCTCTTCCTTCTGCAGAAAGCTGCAGATAGAGTTGTGAAAAGAAAGCAGCCCATAATCAGGCCCATTATGTGTGGATGCTAATCTCTGCATTTATGAGTTATAAATAGAAAATACACAGCACCCCTTTGTGTCTGCCAAGTAAATACTCTGAACCATTTCTGGGGACCAAATGGTTCCCTAGCAGGAATACAGCTAGTTTTCTGCAATTCGAAAGATTGCATTCAAATTCAAAAGGCTTGGTTCAATGTCTTAGTTGAAAGAATTGAGAAATTAA